CCCTGCAGTTAGACAAATGCCACTAGACTAATAGCAAGATATGTGATCACTTTTAATTTCTCAATGGTATATGTGTTTAAAGTGATTACGTCACCGTAAATATTAAAAATAAAAAAAATATTTCCACTTTTTCACAAAATATAAGGAATTCTGTTCACATTTTATGGTTAAATTGCTGCATTATACTTCCTATTTTACTATATTGTTTGATGTGCACATACACTCGCGACCCATACATAGCCCATAGCAAGCAATTAATGTTGAGAACATTAATTCAAATCGTCCAGGTTTTTTGTATTTTTAACTAGTTGAGAAACAATCTTATCAGGTAAGAATTTGACGATTTGTTTAGGGTACTAATGTCTTAGTTCTTACTTTTAATGTAAAAAAATGTCAATTTTTTTAAAACAAATTTTACCATAGAAAATTCGTGACGTAGTCCCTTTAAAGAAACGCCCAGGATTCAAACACTATTAAAGCAAACTCAGAATGAGTGGCGATGCATAATAGGCAACGACATGGTTCACCTTCCTTTGCAATATGGAAATGTCGTCGGCAACATCCAGTGGGTAACTCGCAATAAAGCAGGGAAGCAACCTTAATTAATCGCTACATCTAATGCATGCTCCCTCCCTAAATCAGACACGACCGCTAGACACCCTATAGTGACACCTAACAGATGTTCAATGACGACATTAGCTCCCTTCTAGAACTTACTGTGTGGCTCGCTGTGACAGCTTCAGTTCTAAGCTGTGGCCATCTAGCGCGCAGTGTTGGAGTTCCTTAATCGATCGCTTGGCATCGCGAGTGCGATAGTACTGCACAAAGCCGTAGCCCATCGAGAGCAGACGCCCGGGAGCTTTCGCATCTTTCTTCGTCGCAACGGTAACCTGGTAGATGGCGCCGCACTTGGAGAATGCCTGAAAGATTTATAGTGGAAATTACATGAGGTCAATGCTTTTATACGAACAGGTGCCCCAGGTTAGATACCCAAACTCTGATGGTAGCTATGAATACTAAAGGGCTGCCACAGGACATGTCTCTATGTTACATACATTCATGCACTTATACGACCTCAAACCAACTTCCATCTACTTAGAACTGTGACAGGTAGGGTGTTAATTATTGTCTACAAGGAAAGGTCTGTGGTCTCCCTACACAACAAATAAACAAGTATAATAATTTTGCAAACAATACCCATTGAAATACGTATATAAGGGGTACTCAATTGAAACCCTGTAAGAGTGTCCTTTATTGACAGGTGCCTCGTTCTGTGGAAGTAGCTGCATTGTATAATTGCCATTAAATGAAAATGCCAAGCGCCCTTATAGCCATTTCGTGGCAATGTCAATGGCAAATGCAACTTTCATTATAGAATAAACTGAAACAACAGTATCTGCGAATAGTAAAATTATACCTGTGATGGGATACATTTCTGATGAATGAATTAACCAACTGGATAAACGTTATCAATGATGTTAGAATGAAATGCTAAGGGTGGTCACAATGGTATATACATTACCATACCATGTGTACTTGTGCCATACAGCTGGTACTAGTAGTCGAGTAGTATTCACCTGCTGCAGGCTTTCCTTTGTTGTATCAAAGTTAAGATTCTTCACGAATATTGTGGTGTTCTCCTCTGGTTCCTCTTCCTCCTCATCTGATGACAAAGTCTCCCCTTCCTTCTTTGCCTTCTCTTCACTTTTCTTCTTGGTGCTGCCATCTTCTGGTGTAACCTAGAAATATTGAGATTATTTTAAATGAACGAATTGAAAGAACAATATTTCTACTCAACACTATAATATGTAAGAACTATTTTGCTGTTTGAAGTATTGGTTAAAACCGATATCACGTCATACAACTTTTAAAGTTAGGATCAGGACTATGAGCAAAACAAAACTAGTTGTATGACACAATGGATACAGACAATATTACACAAATACGTAGCTAATTATCAATTTATTCTAAGTATAAATAGAAAAAAGCTAGCTCTTTTAGCTTTAGATTTACTCGAATATCTGCGTAAATGTTGGCTTATTTGGCCTCACTGTCATCAATTCTTCGGCCACGTGTTAAAAAACTTACCCCATCTGTCTCAATAGCTTTCTGTGCAATTCGAGGCTTCAGTGCATCAAGTGGAGCCCATTCAAGGTAGAGTGGCACGTGCTTGAACTAAAACATGATTGGTACAAAGTTAAATTAAACAAAAAATTAATTAAATTTAAAAAAACATTAAAATTAAATTAATACATAACGAAGAAAACAGGAAGTATTTTGAGTTAAGGATTAAAATAGATGGGATTGCACTGCAAGCACTGGATTACAACAATAACAAACATAAAAAACATCACCATATAACAGCTAGGTTGTACAATTGTATTATGCTGATGGTTTCTCCTGCAACTTTCTTTAGTTTTTCTGGCGGTTCTTTAGTACACAACAGTGCTCACTAGCTCTCTCGATCTACAGCACTTTCGTATTTAGTATAACTCATTTACACTTCTACTTGTAAATAAATGCCGAGACTTCCTCTAAGGACTAGTTAGGGATCCCTCTCACGGTCAATCCATCATACCACATTTATCACTGCCTTCAACAGTAACAAAACATGCACTCGAGGCTTACTCACTAAACATAACGTTCGTGAACGACGACTAAATTTTCAATATTTTGCAAAAATAATTTTTTAATAATTTTTAAAAATTCATCTTTCATTTTCAATAAACTTTCATTGCGACAGCCATTCCCACCCGAGCAAGCGACACTGGCAAGCACGTTACTAGCAGGAGATGTTATGCGATGCGGTGAGCCAAGGATGCGCACCTTACTGTAGGCAAGGTTGGTGAAGGCATTCCTCGCGTCGCCCGGGTCTGCAAACTCGACGATCGCCGTGACGCCATTCGGCGGCAGCACGACGCGCGACGGCTCCGCGTGCTTGCAGATGGCGCCACGTAGCTCTTCGGCGGTCGTCCCCGCGGGAAGATTCTTCGCGAGCACGACCGTCTTGCTGCGGGGAGCCGACGCCTGTCCGAACACGTCCAGAGAGACGCCCTCTTGTTCCAGGTACTCGCGCATCTCGGTGACCATCTGCGTCTCTCCCAGTGCCAGCCGCACCTGAAAAAACCCGATTCAAATTACGGCTAAGCTCCAACTAATTATAAAATTTAATTAATAACATTTCATGAATATATATCTATATCTATCTATCTATCTATATCTCTCTCTCTCACTCTCTCTCTCTCTCTCTCTATATATATATATATATATATATATATATATATATTTATATATATATATATATATATATAATAAATAATCATAGGTAATACTGTTACAAATGTTGATTCAACTTTCTTTGATAAGATCGAGTATCTATCATCAAANCAGATAGGAGAAGGTAGCATCACACAGATCGCACTTATAAGGCTTCTCTCCCGTGTGAGTTCTCATGTGTCCCTTCACATCACTCAATCGTGAGAATGTAGCATCACACAGATCACACTTATACGGTTTCTCTCCCGTGTGAGTTCTCATGTGTATCTTCAGAGCACCCGATTGTGAGAAGGCAGCATCACACAGATTGCACTTATATGGTTTCTCTCCCGTGTGAGTTCTCGTGTGTATCTTCATATGCTGCATAGAGGAGAAGGCAGCATCACACA